TAATATATATATGATTAATATAGTTGTTTAGAAACGTTTGTATTACGAGAAATAACTAACTCCTGCCAACATTTTAAATTATTAATCATAGTTAAAAATAAACTAGTTCTGGTTGCAGCTGGTAAAGAATATATATAATCGAAGGATAATATTAGGCTATTTTCACAGCACCATCAAAAATCAATCAAATTTGAGGTGTAGGAAAACTAATCAAAAGTAAAAGTAGAATGCCAAGCTCATTTCCAATAAATAATTCAAAATATAAATCAATCTTTTTTTTTTTCTGTTCATAAGCTACAAAATTTTACAGAAATTCCTTGGCCAATTTTTCGAGCAGAAAGCACCAATAATAAAGTAGGTCACAATGGCTGCGCGTCTAACGGTATTAATATATATTTATGTTTACGCATTTAACCTGATTACGGTGTAAGAAGACGCCTTTGGGATGAAAAAGTTTATAGAGCAAGACTCAGCTGAGAGCTGATGTAAAAGTGACCTGAATTATCTTATCATACTAACTATATTATATAGATATTGATTTGAATTTTTACAAACATTTTAATTATATTGTGGATACATTTTTATTTGGTTCATTCAACTGAGTAACTTTAATAAATAATCATTTTCTGCTAACGGAAAATCAAACCCACAATTCAACAACTTCGCTGTTTCCTTTAAATGTCAAGCAAAAAACTCCAATCAAACAACTTAGAGAAAAGGTTGAAAACAAAAACAAAAATATTTATAGCATATGTTGCTAGGCAAACATCTCGTGTTAAATCCCTCCAGTTTCACCTGCGAAATTCCAAAGAGACGAAGAAAAAAAAATGAACTCAAGAAAACTCAAGAAAATGGGGATATGGGAAAGAATCCCGGGGGTGATAGAATGCAATGCACGCACGCATCAGCATCAGTTAGAATGCCAAGCGAATAGCGAAATTATGGCTGAGCAATGATGGACTAATCATACCCTAACTTAAAGTAAAAGAGAGCATAAACGAATATGTAAAATGGAACACGACATAGACAATTACCTAAAATCTATATCTATATACATAAATTAACGCATACTTCCATCTTTTTTTTCGCAATCTATGCTATTTGATATAATAGAAATAATCCTATGATATCTTGAGTATGTTTATTCCCTAAATTCCTCTTGTTAGAGTATATATAAAATGTCTAGAATATGTATGTGTGTGCTTGTGTGTGTCCTTGTAGGTGTATGATACTCCACATGGTCATCGAACATGGATCAAATTTCCTGCCGCAGGCGCGCGATTGCCCACATTCCTCCAAAACTCCCTTGGCTACATCAACCGCCTCCCTCTGCTCCACCAACACACACATACACACACACAAAATATGATCGTCGTCTGAGTGCTTTTATTTTTCGTGTGTGTTTGTCTAACTGCTGAAAGCAGCGCACTCACAATTTAAGTAGAGCTATCAAATTCTTGACTCTTTCATGGTAATACTCATGCATTGCCGCTGGGCACACAATGGCATATTGGATTTATCAGCGAGAATTGTGGGAGCGGGCCAATCAGAGCAAAACAATATTTGATACGGGTATATGTTATATTTTGAACAAAGCCAAACAACATTTAAGCTATTAAATCATTACCTAGAGCCGACTCATAGAAATGTTGACTGCTTAGATGGATTACCTTATGAGATTTCTACTAAATATTTATATGTGGATATTCTTTCGAATATATTTCGGATTTGGCATTTGGAATAAATTTCTGTTGCTTACTGGAATGCAAAAAGAAGCGAAGAATAATTGCAATATCAGCTCTTCAGAGGGTTCTAGGTATTTCCTAGGCAAGCAGTCTGAATGAGAATATTCTTTGAATATGCCATATGAATATTTTTAAATGCCAATGTACAACAAAAGTTGTAAGGTCTTTACAAATTTTTTTTAAAAGTCTTTAATGCAGCTTTAACTCATTTCAATGATAGCAAAAAATCCCCAAACTGCATTTATATAAAATTTGACCTTTAAATTGCCTTAATAAGTGTCCTTTTTATATAAAGAAATCTCTATCACATTTCTATAGAATTTATCCGAAAGTGTAAGAAAGTTTTTGGGGCTTGGCTGTGACAGCTGCGTTCGATTTCCATGTCATAAGTGTCGCAATATATTGTATAATATTGATACATTGAACGCAACTTTATGTGACACTTTTCTTAGGCCTAATTGGCTGGCCGCAACAGCTGCATTAGCTTTTCGTGCCGAAAAAGAGGGAAAACCCTTCGAGCATTTATTCTTGGTCAGCGTTTATTAAACAACAACTTTTTTTACAGTACGCATGATAAGTTTCTGTACTATATATAGGTGTGTATAGGTACTACTATGAATTGGTCTTTGCTTACCCATATTTCGGCTCAATTCTCTCATTAAAGCAATTAACTGTGCGTTTACTGCGAAGCAGGTGAGCAGGTGAGCAGGTGAGCAGCCCAGCCAGGTGACAGCCAACAAATGTGCCCCGCCCACATTCTTGTGGTAAATTTCATTTCACCGTTGGGAGCACAGCTAAGAACAACAATGTTGTTAAGCTTTTCTGCCCGCCCTTCGTTTGGTTGATTTTTGGGCCAGTTTTACGCTTTGTTTGTGTGTGTCAACAAGTTAATTAAAACAGTTGAACAACGATTCGTGCTGTCCAGAGTTTTATTTGCCACCCAGTTAGGCCTGACTACGCCCTAGGCACAAATAGTCTTATATGTGTCTAATACTTGTATTAAATAAAAAAATATCTTCTTTCTAATTGCTTGTACTTAGACAGCTTGAGAGGCTTAAAAAAATAAAAATAAAATAAAATAAATATTCATTTCAATATGTCACTTAGTTGTTCACAATTTATAGCACTTTTAAGAGCTCTTTGTTTTATTTTTATTTAACAAATTTTGTATTTAGCAATATAAATATATGTACATATATACTTTAATAAATGAAAATTTCTCAGAATTATTCGCCTACATTCATAGCTCACCAAGTAAAAGAGTATTTCACTTTCGTTATCTTTCAGCTTTGTTTTGTTTTTCTGCTTATTAATTGTTTATTTGTTTGTATTTTATATAATTTTGACCTCACATGTTTATAAATCAATCGTGGAAGTGAATGGAGTATATTGGTTTGGTACAATATCCGTCTACTGTCCACCATTTCAATTATTTTAAAACTAAACATCGTAAATCGGTTGAAACTGTATCTTCAATAATTTCAGAGATAATAATAATTTATAGTTTTTAATTTTTATAACTTTTACCCCGCTAAATCAAAAAAATCTTATCCTATCGAAAAAAATTTCTTTTCAAATATTCTCGATAATTTGCATTTCTGTGTAAGCCTTGTGTAAGCCTTTCGAATTATCGGAACTCGACTGTATATGTATATAACAAATCGGAACTGGAACTGTCAGTGTTTGTGTCATGAATGAATATTCTGCAGTCGGTAATGCTCGACTGCAACGTTCTTACTTGTATAATATCAGTGTCTGAAATTTAGCAGACTAGCTGCGAGTATATATATATTTATAAGTATAAGGATAATCCGGCTTGTTTATCTTACAGACATGTTTGTATTTCGCTTGTCTGCTTTATTATTAATTTGTATGTATATACATAAATATACATTTTTAAAATATTAACGCAACAAGTTTTCATAACAACCTCTGACCTGTTTCATATATATTCATTATTAGGGATTTCCAGCTTTCTTGTCTGCATACAGATTTTATTTTTAATTATTTTAAGTGATACATTTTAATATACTTCCATATTTTATTTTTTTAATCTTATTAGCATAACTGTATATATATTTATATAATATTTTCGCACCATAAGAGCATTCCCGTCTCGTTAATACACAGGTTTTGTCTTTACGTCCGTCTGCCTTAGTGCATGCCAGTACTTAGTCCTGTCTGTCTGATGGCTACACAAACAGTTAACTGTAAACCTATCTATATTTAGTATGGCCATAAAATATGCATTATCAATATTATAATGTATGCAAGTACGAGTATACAAATATGAAGCATATATTAAAAAAGAAGCACATATTTATACACATATGGAAGACGTCGTCGGATGATGCTTAAAAACGTCTTAAATAATATTGAGAAAAGGGTATTCAAATATATTCTTTATGTTATTATTATTTCCATGTTCCCTTTTTACAATATTTTGTTTACTGCTTGATTGAGTCAGAAGGTAAAATAAAATGCTCGAATCTGGAAAAGTTTGCATTGCTTTGCCCTACAATCAAAGCGTGCAGTGAACAACAAAATTTTGACTACTAACTTTTTTTCTAGGTAGAAAATTTAATGAGTTCAGTTGACAAATTGAAAATGTTCATTTGGGTTTCGTTTCTTTTCTTGTGTTGCTATTTCGCTGCCTAATTTGTGGGGCGTGCTAGGCAGCTTATTTATTGTTAACTCGGCTCACGGTTCATTTGGTAATTCGTCAATTTCCAGCCAAGGAAAAATATTCAAATTGGCAGCTCCGTGCGTGAAATGTATTTGACTTGAAATTGAGGTAAATTATGTACCTTAAAATTTTTCAATTGAGCTCGCAAAAACTGACTCAGAAAACTGGTTTACAGTTAAATTGACTTAAATCGGATCTTAAATGAGCTGATTAATAAATTTATTCATTCTAACTAGTACGAACTGATTCACAATTGTGTTGATTTGAACTAGCTCATGAATAAGTTTACTTAAACGGAATGAACAGAACTGAGTCAGAGATTATACAATTTAAACAGGTTTAGAATTGAGCTCCATTAAAGAAGTTCTCAAATCAATGTACTTAAACTGGTTCACAGCTGACGTTACTTGAGCTGCTTCTCAAATGAACTTAAACTGGTTCACATTTGAATATTCTCAAACTGGTTTGGGTTAGGGTTTTTCTTAACCGATTCAATTGAGTTAATTGACATAGTTCACATTTAATCTAGTTCGCTATTGATCTACTATATAAAAAAAAATAGTTTTGCTTCAAGTTTTATCAAAAAACTAGATACTTATAATTCGTTCTCAAATTATAATGTTGCAATTACATTGGATCAAGTGATTTACTTCATTGAGCTGGTTTACTATTAAACTGATTCCGATCTTAATTTGCTTAAAGCAAAACAAGAAAAAAGGAACTGCTTCGAAAATGAACTATTTTTATTTAAACTGATTCGCAACTAACGTCTCTAAAAATCAGCTCAAAATTTACTCAGAATCTTTTCTTTTTAAATAGCCCAACAAGCTAAGCTTGAGATGAAGGATTTGAAATTTTAGAAGAATTTCTAGCTTCATGCAGAGAAATAATTGCATGTATCATTGGCGTGTATTGTAGTTCTAATGAACAGCTTAAGTCAAATACAAAATTGATGTTTCACGATTTTTTGTTGTTGTTTGGCTTGCGAAATTAAACCAAATCGCGAAGTTTTACAGGCTTAGACGCCGCCGCAAGTGCCAAAAGTTGGAAGCCAACTCATTTATATTGTTCCAGCAGGCAAAAAGTTATGTTAGCGGAGAAGCCTCAAAACAACAGGAAAAAAAAAAACAAAAACAAAAAAAAATAAGCTACTCAACCCAAGGGCAGAGGCAATGAAGGCAATGAAGGCTATGTGGCTAGGCTAATGGATGCACGTGGATAAAGAAGTGTTGACGAAGGACGAGCGGGGGCCGTGGCTGAGGTGTTAAACTTGTGCTGCAAATGCGTAGCGAAGGAGTGAAGCTTATGCCACGCCCACGGCTAATTAAATGAAACGATGCGAATGGCGGCCTTAAAATAAAAACAAGCTGCACAAGGCGAGAAGGGTTAAGGCGGGGAGTAGGGGAAGAGCGGAAGTAGAATCAACAGCAGCAGCAGCAGCAGCAGTGGCAGCAAAAAGTTACCCAAGAAGACGCTTTGACACATGCTGTTGATTTAAACCTATGTATATGTATATGTGTATGTGTATGTGTATGTGTGGTATGTGTGTGTGAGAGTTTATGTGCGTGCTCTTTGCTTAAGCACGAAAAAAGTGGCAACACCCACACCAACAATTGGTTTAAGGGGTTTACAGCGGGTTGGGCTCTGCTGCTTGGTAGTGATGGTAATTAGCCTCATACACATTCTCATTTTATGCTTGCAGAGAAGACAGCACGACGCTAACAGCCCGCTAATCCCAAGGATAACACTCAGTACGCACACCAGCACAAACCGGGATAGAGTGAGATAGATATAGTCAAACATGAAGTTGAATATGCTAACGCTCGGCATGCTGGCTCTGACGATCCTGGCCAACTCGCAGCATGTCCTTAGCTTTCTGACGGACCAAGCGACGTCTCTCAATGGAGTTGGAGCAGCTACACTTGCAGCACAACAACAACAGCAGCAACAGCAGCAACAGCAACAGCAGCAGCTAGCCGACCTCTTTGATGGAGTCGGAGTCGGAGCTGGAGTTGATGCCGACGAGGACAGCAGACAGCAGCTGAACATAGAGACGCAGCAGCAGCGCAATGTTTACGATCCAGGAGATGGTGAGTAGTATCCCTCATTAAATTACGGCACAGCCTTTTGTGCCTGGAAAGGATTACGCACTGACATTTGACTCACTCAGCGCGCAGCGTAGGCATTGTGTTTGCTCTTTGCCCGCCTCGAATGGCCTTCAACAATGAAGGCCATGAAAATGTATTTTATGTCGAGCAAAAAACTTCGTTAACACTTTTTTTCTCTTCACTAACAATTTGTCTTGGTCCGAGTTTGTCAGCTAGTTCATATCTATATAGAGTTCAAGTTTATTGAAAGTGCAATAACTGAAAAATTAGATTGAGAAATATAAAAATTCTCCATACAAAAAAAAAAATAAATAAAAATAAA